GCTCTCCATCTCACAGAATTCTTGCAGCTCTCGAAATTCCGTTGGGTGAGCATCATATTGAGTCCATTGCAACCCACCTGCTCGTGTTCAAACCCCAGCTTCCAACCTAGATGCACCCGTCTTCTGTCCCTCTCCCACTCTGACAACCAGATGGTTCTACTGCCTTTCCGGCCATCATTGCCCTACCCAGTGCTGATGACCCAAACCGTCCTGGGGAGCCCATTAGTGGTCTTCGTTTCATTCCTATGTCAGTCACCGGTTTGCTCCGGTATGAGTGTCATAAAACCAGGTAGGGTGCATGAAATATTTGATGGTGCCAAAGCTCATGTTGATACCCTAGATATCCATCCGAAGACGATTACTTTGAAGTGTTGATGTACCAATACCCTGAGATGTTGTTCGTTTCATTACTGCACAGAAGTATATCTCATATTCAACTTCTGTTTGCAGAGAGGATATTCCGGAGGGGTGGACAGCCTATCGGCATCCAAAAGGTGCTCTTTACTTTGTGCATGGCGAGTCGGTTAGTGAATCTGAACAATATCTGATATTGTTGTTATTGTATCTCAAGTGTAATTCCGCAGAAAACATTTACGGAAGTGAACATATGCGATGAAGACATCTACAATGATATCAAGTACTTCAGAACATTCTTGTTCTCGTTACTGAAAACTGAGATCAAGAAGCGAAATCCTTCTGACTCCCTAAAACTCGATGAAGTTCAGCTGGTTTTGGAAGCCAAGCTAGACAAGTGAGGTTTGTTGTGTTGTTGCTATTATTTCGTGAACCCACCAACCAGAAGTATATGTATTTTGGCTGGATAAATTTTATGGATATGAGGTCTTCAGGGATTGTAGAGGTGCCCTTTTGCTTCTGCATAAAGGTAGGCTCCAGGCTACTGGCCCTGGTAGGTTCGCCAAATGATTTAAACCGAACTGGGCTGGCTATCCAAGCACAATACTGGTTTATACCATATGTGAGTTGACCTCTGTTGTAAAATATTCATGTGTCTGATGCATTACCACCATGGTAGTCGTACATGAAGCATCAAGGAACTAAGATAATTTCAGGAGTCACTGGAATTTCTACCCAAACTTCTGTGGGGTTACTCAAGAGTTGAAGAATGAGGTGCCGGGCAAGATTCTTCATGCTACGTGTGGTGAGTGTTGAGTCCTCATCGCATGTGCACTCAATAATTAGAACTACAGATCACATTACATCAACTCGCTCATCATGTTGTCTGAATCCCGAGGAGCTGAGAAGCCACTTACCCCTCATTGAATGAATTGACTGTGGGTGATGTGATGTGTTCAGCAACATTATCCTTCTCAATTCTTGTCTACTTAGCCCAATCGACAGAAATGCGTGAATACAGTGCGATCATTATAGGTGGGACAAATATTAATTGATGGTTGCCAGAAACCTCTAATGCTTTCTAGGTCGAATCATGCGTATATTCTGTGCGTCTCCATCATGCTTTCCAATTTGCCCTCGTTCATGGTCACAGATGATAATTATTTTCTCAATTTTCATGGCAAAGAGTGTACATGACTCAACTTCGACCAAACGGTCCATGGATGGAGATATCATCCTTTCCTACTCATGACGATTTGTGCACCGCTGTTATTCATGGCACCCGTCAACCGCATGTGGATACTGCACCGGATCTTTGTCGACGATATTGTGAATAGGGACGGATGGAACTTGTTCATCACTCAGCTGAACTCACAGCTCCAAGCAACTAATTTGCTTGTAAGTATACTTAATCACAGGGTCCAGGACAAAATAGTTGATCGGCATCCAGGCAACTGTGCTACTGAGTGCCAATGTCGGGCTTCTTTCGAAACAGTCCGGCTCAGGGACTTCGCCTAAGGAATTCTTCCGCAATATGTTGATGGTAGCCAGCACGGCAAGCTGTTGAATAGCATACAGTACACAGTGACTTGGTACTTACTTGGTTGGTTGGTTGAAACATTGCTGGATGGTAGCGGTAGTGGATCAAGAGATATATTTGAACTCAGACGACTGAGTTCGTATATGTAGAACAAGTGTGTGAACTATATACTATTTATGGTATACTACACTACTTTGTTCAACACAAGCATCATCCTCGGTCTGGTCTTCATGGTGCAAAATCACGCTGAAGAACCAGCTAATCCATTCAGAGCCGTTAGTTGACTATATCTTGCATCCCATCACATTTTTTTCAGTTCTCTGACTTCGACAGGCCGAATTCTTGTCTCGATTGCAACACAAGAAACATGGACTCGAGACTCTCGCCATCACCTGCAGTTTACCGTATGCTTTCCTTATGTGGAGGTGAGTGCCCCGGCATAGCTAGGATCCATTCCCCTGACATGTGTTCTCCAGTATGGTTTTCTTCTTCACAAATTTTGTAATCCAGTGGTATTTTCCAGCCGAAATCGCATCTCGCGTGATTGTGGGAATCTTCATTCTTATAGCAGCCATGTTGGCTGCATGGTGCATTTGGACTGCTAGGGATCGGTGCGGCTTCTGGTGGTTCCAAC